ATTCCATAGGAATCTAATTCTAACAAATACACCTACTAATTAAATTTATTGAAATATATTTTGTATATTGAATTATTTATTAGAAAGGCTTAGAAAAGTATCAGGCTTATGTGTGATTTGTGTATTACTGTATCAATACTTGTATATGAGATACAGTAATGTATGAGAATCTGTGCCATCATTGCCATAGAATTGTAATCAATAATTGAGTCCTCAATGATTAGTAGAAAGGATTAGTATTGGAGATCCAAATCATTAATAGCTCATTAAGTTAGGATTAATGGCAATAGTATTTAAGTAATATTTAATTACAATGTTTTCATACTATAGTATACCATATCGTAGCAATTGCTGTGCTTTTTATCAAAACTTCCTTTTCATATGATTGTCGCATAATTTTATAGTCACCTAAACTACATTTTATATACATTTACGTTTACAATACTATCAGGGTATTATAAGTTAATTATAAGAATATATTACATTTTTATACAAAAGTTTATCTATTCTAATAATTTAAAATACTTAAAATTCTTTACAAATACTGTATACAACTTCATAGACATAACAAATTATATTTTCACAAATCTTACTATATTGATAGTATAAATTACTACAATTATTTTCTTTAAAAATTCATTGTCAATTAATTTATATTTAATTTTACCGGTAGTATCGAAATAATGATAAATAAAATAGTATTATGAAATAAATCTTACTATATTTAATATGGCTAACTGTGATAAATGAATTGCACTTTAAAAGCATTTCGCAGAATTTTGTGGTGTATTTTCCGCCAGAAATATGATTTATAATACTTTATTCATACTTTATATTCAATTAACTTAACATTATTTGAAACAAACATCAGAAGTTTAAACATCAGTTTATTTTAATATTCATTTAATATTTGTAAAGAATATATCAAATTAAATAAATATATTTATCACATCTACAATTATAATATAAACTAGTATAAAATGTCAAACTCCAAGAATCAAGTATCAAAAAGTGAGAGCAATTTGTTAAGTTTTTATAATACACCGAAATCGCTGATCCATACGCGACCGTCATTTCAAATGATACCAAAGTTAAGAGAAAATGTGCTTAAAATGTATGAAAACAATGAGAGTATTGCCGATGAGTGCGATATTAATCGTATCCGTGAGGACGACTGGTTTGTCCAGAGATTTATCGATTACTACAACAACGATGTCTCGGAGGCCACACAACACATGGTCTCGACTCTGAAATGGAGAAAATCTTTCGGTGTTAACAACAGGACCTTAGATAAGGATTACGGCAAAGAGTTCTTCAAAATCGGCGCCTTCTTTGTGTACACGGAGGACAAGAATGGTATTCCTCTGGTAATGGGTTTGACTATTTTATTTGAACTAAGTTTAAGAGTATTGTATTAGAAGTAAACTTATTAACCGATTGTTTGACAGTTGTTTCTTAGGGGTAAATGCAACAGAAAAGTTACTAAATTGCGAGAACTCATTGAGATGTTCATCATTGGCATCATTGAACAATTGGACACAAAAGTGGGCAAAAAAGGCTTTATTCTGGTACTCGACTGTTCCGACTCTAGTATTAATAACCTAAGCATGGATTTAATGAAATTCGTGATCACAAGTCTCACCGTTTACTACCCGCTGGCCCTTCAATACGTACTGATCTATAACATGCCGTGGCTTCTGAGGGGTATCTGGAAACTCGTGAAGGGATGGTTAGGAGAGTACAGACATTTGGTGTACTTCGCGAATGGAGATGAGATTGAAAAGTATGTGGACATCGAGTGGTTGCCTAAATATATGGGAGGGAAGTGCAATAAATCGTTCACTGAAGCACCGGATAATTGTCCCACAGTTTATGAATTGGCCGAAAGGTATGGCTTCACGCAAACAGAGGTCAAGAAATATATGAAAATTTATGACGACTTGCTAGAAGAGGCCAAACAGTATAATTAAGTTACAATTATTGCCAAAAATAAGTATCACATTTGAGATTTGTATGAAAATACTGATTTCTAGAATTTTAGACTGTATATTAGTACAAAACCAAAATAAATTTATCAACCTATTTGTCAAACTAAGCTATTTTATTTTTTTTAAGTTTTTTTTAACTATTATTTAAACTATTATATAAAATTATAAAACAATTTTTAATTATCATTATTAATATTTGCATGAAATGACATTTGTTTTATATTAGTCTAAACATTGAAAGTTGGTTCACATTATTATTAAATTGTATTAGTAATTGAAAGATAAGGAAATGTATGAATGGGTCAGGGATTAGGTGTTTGATGAGGCGATTGGCCGTTGAAGAGTCGGCCACTTCTGGTGCCGTAAGTGAATGGCTGTGTCCTGTCGTACAGAAGCAATCCATTGTAGCTTTCATTCAGTTGTGTCTCTGTGTCCACACAAACCATACAATTATTAATACAAACATTCATTTCCTAACATTTGGTATACCTTTGGCCCTAATTTTGGTGACCAGTCGTTGACTCAATTCAAGTTTGTGTTCATAAATCTCTTGCATTTGTTTCAAGCAATTCTCGATACGGTTCACCAGAATCTGTTTGCGCCCATCACTGGCTTCCTCCGACACTTGGCTCCAAATGTCTTCAATTTCCTTGATTTTCGTGTTTATATCGCAATCACATCCCAATCCCTCGGATATAATACGAGACAATTCAATGGGCATACCCTCTGCCACATCATTGAACTCATTCACATAGCTCTCGACCACCTCTTTGTCCACAGTTTTGGGCATTTTTCTCAATCCAACCAATACTTCAATACTACGTTATCCCACAGTAACTGCACTTTTAGTGTGAATTTTTAGTGATCAAAAATGATGACATTTTTAAACACATATAAGAAATAATAGACTACGATATTAAAAATTACCTGATCACTTAATATTCGTATGGGCCCTCCCTCTAAATTAGCTTGGATCTTTTTAATAATATACTAAATTTGAAATTTTTGCTTCCAGTAGTATTAATGTAAACTACTAAACTACTGTAGTATAGTTAGAATTTTGCACTAGACATTAATTTATAAGTGTATTTGAAATGTAATAAGAGATGTAGTTTCGATCAAAATACAGATAAGAATATAATTTTTCTATTTTTCAGTTCTGTACACTTCCTGACCATTAAAACATTAGTAGTGATCATTATTGTAGGTATAAATAGAGTATAAGATATAATGTCTTTGTAACTGATTAAACCTTTTATTACTTTTACTTAAACTTTGATACTGTATTCATATAAAAATTATTGCCCTTTCCATTTAAACTAAAGTAATTGCATATTTTAAAGTTTATTCATTTTTAAATAACAAATGAAATTCTGAGATTCACTTTAGTTTTCATTATAAAGTTTATAAACAAATCATGATAAATTAGCTAAATTATTCTTGGTCAATATTGTCTTTGATAATCAAAGTGAGCGACTCCTGCGAGTCTGGGCTGTCCTCTGGATGTGAGGAATCGTTGGCAGAATCGGGAGACTCTATGCCCAACACATGTAACATAAAACTTCCGAAACCATTGCCTTCCGGGTGTTCACCACTTGTGCCACTACTCTGTCCCTTACTATCACTCGATTGATCAGACTTTTCGTTATCTTTTGACTCTTTTGAAGCTATGGACGCATCCCTTTCGCTGATAATATTGATCTTTGATTTGGATTCCGACGCTTTCTTATGGTCAACACTTTCGCTTCGCTTCCTATCACTAGATTTGTCTGATTTTGAACTCTTCTCAGTGTTTTTGCGGACGATATAACTGACAGAGAAATAGATGATTGCGATTATGGCAAACAAAAGGACCAGAATTATGATGACCACTATTATTGGCAATATTTCGTGAGAAAAACTCGCAGAATCCGTGTCTGACTTGATGGCCACTGGAGATGTCTTATTACTTGGAGTGACAGACATTTAATCAATATATTTGTGTCTTATTTGCTATTCTTATAAATTGGTCTCAATTTCAGTTTATTTGTTGAAAACATACAAATAATGAGTTAATTGAATGAATGCGAGAATTGAATGTATTGTTGTATTTCTAGGTATAAAAAGTATCGAAATTTTGTTCATTCATTAGTCGTTAAAAATTGGTTCAAAATTTATACCAATTGATATTTCTGATCAAAAGTTTTTTATTCGCCAGTTGATACCATTTTAAATATGAATTCAATGACAAATAATCAGAAGTGGACTTTTGTAGCAGATATCAGACCAGTTGACGATCAGTGGTCTTTTCCGGGGGTTTTCGATGCCTTAAGAGGACACGAAATACTAGCGATTGCTGACAATGAGCCCAATGTGGAAGCCATTGCCGCTACTAAATCAATAGCTGACACTTCATTCATTTCATGTGAAGTTTCTTCAAAAAGTGTGTCAACTAATAGCACACAAACTGATCCCCAAAAGAGTTCGACCACTTCTAACACAAAAGTCATATCTCCAGAGCCATCGGATGTATCACTAAATAGAGTCACAATTTCTGTCATAAAATCAAATGACAGCCAAACTGGTCCTCAGAAGAGTTCTTCCACACCAGAAATGTCCCAAAAGTCAGTCTCTAATATCAGTGGCCAGAAGAAAAGGCGGATGTATTTCGAGGACACTTCTGAACACGTGATATATTACGTGCGAAACCCTGCGGTGCGCCGACCGGTGGCTCTCCTCATGGGATCCAATTGGACGCAAACTAAGACCGAACTCTCGGTGCGCCAGAAGTTTGTCAAAACTAATGGCAAGATTTCTGTAGCAAAGCGTGTGAAAGGCGACAGAAAAATAGGCCGAGACTCAGCCCAAGTGAAACACTCGTCAGACCTCTTGATCATCACTTCCCCCAAAGGATCCGATATCTGGATCTATGGAGAGACTGGCGATGGCGTAAAAGTAGGCGCCAATACCATCGTTAAAGTGATGGGATGTCTGGCGGTCTACAAGAATGACGAGATGGTTCTCGACAAGTATAAGGACGGCGGCAGACATGCCATCGAAGCCATTGATGGCGACCTTCAGTTTGTAGTCTGTGACGATAATAAAGTGGTATTAATTGGCAATAAAGACAACTATAGGATCGATGATGAGTCCTATTTGGACACAATTGCTCTTCCACAGCAAAAGCCAAAAGATATTGTGTCTAATGATAGCAAACAAGTGCCAAATCAATCGCAAACTAATGTATCTTCAGGTGTGCCACCAAAGATCAGTTCAGGTGATAAAAATGGTGAAAGTAAAGTCAAACAAGTCATGTCTAATGTGTTGATGACACATGAAACAAGTGTCAGCGGAAGTGATGATCAAAGACATGTGGATTTAAACGGAGGGAAGACATCGCTCCATAAGAAGGCAAATCTGGACACAAGTATTCCTCCAAAGAAGCAATTGGACCAAAAGTCTCAATATATTGTGCCAAAAAATAGCGAAAAGTTTTTAAATCAAAAACAAAGTGATATGATTTTACCGAAGATCAATTCAGGTGATAAAAGTGGCGAAAGTAATGCTAAACAAGTCGTGTCCACTGTTTTAAAGACTTCTGAAACAATTGTCGGCGCAACTGATGGTCAAAGAAATTTTAATTCAAATGGAGAGAAGAAATTACCCGAAAAGAAGGCAAATCTGGACCAAAGTATTCCTCCGAAGCAGGAATTGAGCCAAAAGTCTCAATATATTGCATTAAAACATAACAAAAAGCCTTTAAATCAGACACAGACTGATATGCCTTCACCTAAGATCAAGTCAAGTGATAAGAGAAATGTCAAACAAGTGATGTCTAATGTGAACAAACAGACAATACCTGCGCCTGAAGTCAGCCTCAATTTCATCGATTATTCACCGATTCTTGAGTTTCTTATCTATTATCTCAACCAAAACCGCAAGAAGTCTCCGATCGGGACCATCGAGGGTAACATCTGTGGCCAGACCAACTGCACTCAGATATTAGATGTGATTCCCGGTGACAATCGGTCAACAATTCTTGTAGAGCTGTATAACTCATGCGATGACTCAATGAGACGTGATATGAAGACAGTCATCGATAGCCAGCATTTGGTGAGTTTGAAGCCAAATAATAAGACAAAAGTACACATTTATGGCGAAGAATGTGATGGCTTTATGGTGACTAATGGCTCCAAAGTGATGGTTAGCGGCCAACCCTTCAAATTCTATGACAATGCCATCGAATCCATTGATCCCAAAGCTGTGAAGCGGGAGATATTGTCCTCGAGATCCCCTGGGCACAGTTACCACTTCGTTATCAGTGATTATAAGTTGATTTGCTTTAAGCCGTAAAATTGTTGCAAGTTTTGATTACAATTGATTACAAGTTTTTATTAAATCTTCTGAATACGGACTATCTTTTGATTCACTGAACCCTTATATCTTGTCATCTTGATCTTGATTATATCTCTTATAGTCTGGTGATACCTTATTTGCTAGTTAAACGTTAGTAGAAATAATTGTACTAAAATTTTAATCACTAACCTAAAATTGACATACAATTTAATTGAAAATACTCTCTTACCTTTTATTGAATATTATGAAAACTTATTGTGCACTAATGCAAACTTTTTCAATTCTAATCAAAGGGTACTAAACATTGAATACTATTCACAAATATTACGGTAAATGTAATATCACGGTATTATACTTATGCTGATATTGTTGTGATTAATTTATTTATAGTATCAATGTTTAAATGGTTAATCAATTTATAACTGTTTTATAATTTGAACGAAATTATTTGATAAAAAAGATGTCAAAACAGTGTCTAATCTTAATGTTAATATCACTTGTAATTCAAGTGAATGGTGTGACGAATAACCAATTTCTGGGGTTAAACGATACACAATTAGCAATCATAATAGTCCTGGTGGTGTTTTGTGGGTTCTTTTGTTTGGCAATGATTTTGATGTTATGTCATTTGGGTTACACCTGTTTGTGTGGTAAGCATGAGCCCACTGACGATGAACTCAATGGACTCAATGAGAGGAATTCAATGAGTAAGAGGAGTTCCGAGTTGGCCATCGATNGAGCCCACTGACGATGAACTCAATGGACTCAATGAGAGGAATTCAATGAGTAAGAGGAGTTCCGAGTTGGCCATCGATGGTAATAAAAAGGGCAAATTTGGTGATTTAGACTCCAGTCTGTCGCTTAAGCTACACGTGTCGGAAATGTCACTGAATTCCGCCGAATTAACGGATCCATTAAAAGATAAAGACTTCAAGAGCCCACAAAAGACCAATAAACCGAGTATTGAAAAGTTTTTTGAAGACAAACATAAGAAAAAGAGTAAATTCCAGGGATAATGAAGTTTTTATTTCATATGCCATTTGAGCCCAAAATAGTAATTATTTTATATATAATTCTCTAGTATTTCTATAACTAAATATTTCAATATTCTTTAAATTATCTTATGTTATGCTTATAGTTATCAATGCATATAAACATTTTGCTAAATTTAATTAAAAATTAAAACAATGCATGAAAAAGAAATGAAAGTAAAAAAGATTTAAACATGTTTTTGTATTAAACATTAAATTAGAGAGAGAGAGAGTGAGACAGAGAGAGAGAGAGAGAGAGATGAAGAATTCAAACGAAGCGCATATACTATACATATACTGATGTAGCCCTGCATTGATTGCATGTGAGTGTGATTATCATCTTAAGAGACGCCGGTAAGTAAGTCACGACTTTTGCCAGCGGGACAAATGAGGGGCTGTGGGGGTGGTCTCAGTACAGGTCAGTCAGTGAGGGAGAGAGGGATACCACTACCAAATGCATCATATTATAACACACCATCACTACCACATTACAAAGGCATCTCTCTCTCTCTCTCTCTCTCTCTCTCTCTCTAATTTAATGTTTAATACAAAAACATGTTTAAATCTTTTTTACTTTCATTTATTTTTCATGCATTGTTTTAATTTTTAATTAAATTTAGCAAATGTTTATATGCATTGATAACTATAAGCATAACATAAGATAATTTAAAGAATATTGAAATATTTAGTTATAGAAATACTAGAGAATTAT